ATCTGTCCTTAGTTGACATTAGAGGTCTAGTAGACCCCCTGATGTTTGCATAAAGAGGACCGTTTACTTCCTCTGTGCTATCGCATAACTCAAACATTTGTGCTACATAAAAATTGCAACTAGCATTTTTTTTTATTTTGCAAGGCCTCTGCTTTCAAATAATATTTAATTGTCTTTTTTTTTGGCAGTTCTCCAGCCAAAAATTCTGATTTATAACATGTGTGCGAAAATCAAACAATTGCTGCAATAGCAACGGGATTAAGTAACCGTGGCTTCTTTTTGCCACCAAAAACTGTGTGAAGTTCCTAGGCAACAGTTCTATGCATAGTCTTTCCAAACAGACAGTAAGAAAAGCACTTATCCATTTATTACAGACGAAAAAAACAACTAAGGTTTATCCCTTTCTACTGTTTTTGATCGTCAATTTTGTTTTGTTTTTTTATATGCTGTGATGGTTTCCAGATGTTCTCTACATATTTTTTCCATGCAATAGAGCAAAGCATAGACAGAGTTGAAAATGGCCCCAATGCACATTCAGCACTCTTAGGATCAAGGGCATTTTCTGAATGCAGTGTGCCAGTGGGCAACATCCTACGTTGGGTCCTGCAACAAGGAAAAGTTGTGCCACCTACATATGTGCGCGTATTTTTTTTTTAACAGCTACCTAACCTGAGTCTAATAGATAAATACAATACTCAGCATCATCAATTTAAAAAAAATATCACTCATTACAGATGCTTTTCAGCCTACCTTAACTACCTCCCGGCCAGCCGCTGTGTATACACGGCCTGCCGGGAATCATAAAATACTTCACATTCAGAGTCCTCCTTAGTTCCCTCTTCACATCAGAAGCCACACCTAAAAAATGTCACTTCAGGCCTGGACAGGTGGAAAATACCTCCTCTCTATGCCAAGCAGCACGGCAGAGCAGGTCTCTCCAGGGTCTGGACAGAGACGGAATTTCGTGACAGAAGTTCTGTTCTGGGGCAAGGCACACAGAGCTGTGCAGTGTGATGTCATTGGTTGCCACCAGCGTCCCTGCAAACAACAATGGAGGGGGCTGCAGAAGAGAAGAAATGTAAAACACAGGCAGCCCCTGCTGACCCGTATCGCCAATGTGTTTTGTTCATTGAGTGAGTGCACAGTAGGCCCCATCTCTAACTAGGGCTGCAACCAACGAATCGCTAATGAGAATAGTTTTCAACTATTGTCAGCGAATTAGTTGGTTGGATCCCTTAGCTCTCTCCTCCATGCTGGAAGGAGGGCACAGCAAGCAGCGGACGGGTGCAAAAGCCAGCCTGCTAGTGAAATTTGAAATGGCCAATAGCAGGATGGCTATTACACCAGCCCACTAACTGCTGTATTTACATTTAGCTGCCGTCTGTGGAATCTTGCCACTGGCAGCTGTCATTCCCTGGCTGAAGCTACTCAAGCGCCATGTGCTTACAATACAATTTTTTTTTTTTATTCTAAAAAGGTGGGAAAAAAGTCAAATTCTTTTGCGTTGCAGTGCCATTCATTTCAGTGGCACCCCAAACGCCCGCACTGGAACGCATTGTACCGCAATGCCCTGCATTCCAGTGCAGTGCGATTGCAAAAAATTGTGCATGCAGTTTTATCCTGAAGTAAACTTTGTTTGTAACACTGCATTTGTGTATTTTATTTTAAATTAAGGATGCTTTTTTTTTTAAATGTATACGATTCATCGAAAAAATAATCGGACAACTAATCGATTTATGAAAATAATCATAAGTTGCAGCCCTATCTCTAACGCACATATTGACGATACATCACTGTTTACAATGTGTGTTCAGTCACATTTTAAACAGTGTGACAGGGTATACGACTCGATGTACGTCAGTGAGAGATTGAAAAGGGCAACTTTCTCTGGCTAGGAAGGAGTTAAACCTTGCCCCAACAGATGCACCTCCTCTCTCTATTAATTAGCCTGCACCTGATGGTAGCTGGGAGAGCCCAAAGAGGGAGAGAGATCCAGGCGGCACTGGGTGGATAAAGTGACAGACTGGAGAGCGTCTGAATATCTGTGGAATAAGGTATGGCAGGAAAACTATGTTAAAATATAGAGAGGGATGATCGCTTGTATGAGGTCTCGGTATATGCGCCCCCTCCGCGGCTCTTCCCCTCCTGCTGGTCCCGGGCTCCGTTGTGCCCAGTGGGAGCCCGGGACCAGCATAGTGCCTCTCAGACGGGGGATCAGATGGAGATCGGTACACGATCTCCCTCCGGTCCTCTCTCCGCTGTCAGATTGCGGAACTGATGTATATTACATCACCTCCGCATTCTTATGTCACTCTCCAGCTTCAGATGCTGGAGAGAAGCTGATGAAGCAGATCTCTGCCCCCTGATGTATGTTACATATAGTAGCGGATGTCGGAGTGAGGGCAATAATTTTAGGGCCATCAATCACTGATGAGTGCTTAGCTGATGAGCGGTAAAAGCTTTTAAAGCGTCGCCTATGGTCAATTTTGGGTATGGTAGGTTTTTGCAATTTCGCGGATGCGCGCAATTTTAAAGCTTGACATCTTTGGTGTCTATTTACCCAACATGACTCTGTCTTTTATGTTTTACCAAAAATATGGGTAATAATAATTGTTTCCTAATATAATGGGGGGAAAAAAAACTTTTTTCCCCAAATTTTTTAATAATTTTTCCTTTTATATAGTAAAAAATAAAACCTGCAGTGGTGATTAAATACCACCAAAAGAAAGCTCTATCTGTCCCTAAAAAATGGTATAAAACTCATTTCAGTACAGCGTTGCATGACGGAATAAATGTCAGTCAAAGTACCGCAGCGCTGAATACTGAAATATGGCCTGGCCAGGAGGGGGTCTAAACACCTGGTCTTCAAGTGGTTAAGGACTTTTTACTGGAAGCTGGAATAGCCACTCCAGTAGGAAGTAGTGAGGGATACTATTGTTAGTTAGCCTCCTAAGATGAAGTAGGCCTTTTTGTTTGTTACTTTTGAGTTTCTGCTGGAAATTGTTTTGTTTAAAAAGGGAAAACGTACCCTATTGATAAACAGAGACTTTTTTTTACGTTTGAGCTCAATAAAGCTGCATTTATTGCCAATTCTGATTACAGACCAGTGACTTTCATGCAACAGCTTTCTACTTTAACCTATTGACTGCGTCCTCTTTATGTTTTATGTTTTCAGTTCCATTTCAGTATTAATTTTTCACTTTTTTTGCAGTTTCTTTTCTGTATTCTACTGCCAACTTTTGCAAATCTTGATGGTTGTTATGGTTGGTCTTTCAGGAAAAAAATGAGGCCTCATTGTACTGTAAATCTGCTGTAATGATCGTAATCTGACTTTAAGCCTGTGGTAGTCATGTATAGTCTTCAGGGCACATTCGGGAAAACCCTAGGCGCACCGTTAAATCCACAGTTGAAATACACATGGTCATTGCTATACTAGCCAAAACATATGTCTTGTCCTGTCTTTTACACACCTTTGCCATACTACATATCCAATCAGATCACTCCACTTTTTTGCAGTATGCGTAAATAGGCAGTGTAATGATGCTCTTGCATTGTATTGTACTGGTGAGCAATCAAGTTTTCTTTCTAGTGTGTAAAATCACAAGACTTGTTGAACAGATTTACTCATCCTATGGCAATAAAATTATTCCTGTATGTATTTCAACTGTGTATTTAGATTTTGGCTTGAAATTCCTCTTACATCTCAGTAGAGAAAACATGAAAAACTGCCAGAGGTGTTTTTCTTTCAGCATTGTCAACGCATGATTACTGAGCAAAGTGAGCTGAAGTAAAAATATCTATGCACACACTGTTTTAAAATGATAGAGGATACATTTATTCTAATAACTATGCATGCAGTATATTTTAATTAGCTGTATCAGCGCTCCCAAACGAAAACATAGACTTTAATCATTCTCCCTTCAGGTTTAAGATGAATAGAGGACAAACCAAATTATAATAAATGTTATTGAGTTGAAGGATTAGCGGGCAGGATAGTATAAATGGTTGAATTACCAAGATGAATGATGAGATAATTGTTATGGAATGCCAGTTGTGTACTCTTCTGATGTTTTCTATCGTATTGCAATGCTAGTGATGGGTAGCTGGTATAAACACTGCAGTGCCCCTAACTGCAAACCTAGAGCAGGTTTTTTTGTAAATTATTTATAAAACATTTAAACTCGGATCATGGCATATCATAAGAAAAACAAAAACCCTTAAGAGGGCAGAAAAGGAGAAGTGGGTAACCCAAAAGTCATCCCAAACATAGGAAACAAGACAACGCTAGGTCAAAGAGTATGCAAAACTAATTTTAAAGATACAGATATAGAGTTACAGGGCAGCGAAAGAATGAAAAAGGAGAAAAGAAAGAAACAAGCTAAAGAACGAACCAGCAAGCAGGATTAAAAAGAACAAAGATGAGAGGGACCCAAAGAATGGACAGCAGAGAAAGCTTGTGAGCCACATCCCATAAAGGAAAAAAAGAAGACAGATGACCTAGGCCATTCATTTTTCCCTCATCTGAGCTGAGAAACTTCAGCCAATAAAGAACAGTTTATTTTTAATATACTGTCCTGAAAAATTATTTGTCATTGACTCATGTGGGATTTTTGATTCTTTACCTTTGTAACAAGCCTGTTAAAAGTTTGGTCTACATTTGGTATGAAATCTTTTTAGTGTGTTTGTTGCAGGTGCCAGAAGACAAGCCGATAAGACAATACTCGATTATATAACATATGTTGGTTTCAGCTTCTGTCCATCTTTCTGTACATGAATGTATTGCTTGTCTTGGAAAAGTTACTAGTACGTTGGCACAGAACACCTTTGTAATCTTGGCAAGCATTTTTTTCATTCACATTTTATATAATTAGACAATGGAGTTGACTTTCTAGCTATGTAAATGCATGTATGAGTTGCATAGAACAAGCATAATTATGTGTTTTATCTGGAAAGAGAATCACTGCTCATAAGTATCAGCTAAACTTTGCTTTTTTTTATAGGTCATTTTGGTTGATCCTGCTCAGGATTATACAGCCGATTATGTGAAGCTTGCTGAATTATTCTACCGCCACAATGTGCCCCTCAGGTACTGTATGGTAACTGGCAAAATAAATCACTACTCATTGTACAAATTAACTCGAAATGCAATTGTGTTGCAGGATGGGTGAAACAAAAGCATGCATATTAAAAAAAAAGTTAAGAATTGTAGATGAGAAGTGTACAGATTAGAACACCTTTTATTGTAAAATGTGTCAGTAATAGCTCATTCTGATATTGTGCTTCCCACGGTAATGTGAAATGATGTTTCCTAGGAACCATAATACAGAAAGTAAAATCAGACCTATATGTAAGTAAAGTCAAAGATTTGATTGTAATTGGAAGAGAAAAGACAATTGAACTTTATCATATGTCTATGTTGGTTAACTTCAGTTCTGTGTAGTATCAAACAAAATAAACAGTGTGGATTTATACCAATAAATGTGAAATTGAATACAATTACAGATTATTCTCAGTACTGTATTTGCCCATGTCTGTACTTTATCCCTGAAACCATTCCTGGTTTCAGGGATAAAGTACAGATGTGGACAAATTTGTTGGTACCCTTCCATTAACCACTTGCTGCCCGTAGCAATTTCTTACATTTGCACATACATTATAAAATCTGAATTTGTGGCTAGAAAACCGCTTTAGACCCCCAAACAATGAAATATATTTTCTGAAAGCAGAGGCCCTGTAGAATAAAAAGATGCTAGTAATTTATGGTGCACGGTATTTGTGCAAATGTTTATCAAACAAGTATTTTTAGGATACAATACACTAAAATGAAATTTAGTGCACAGAAACAGAATATAATACCCAATGATACCCAGATCTCTGCTTCCTCAGCTTCTTTGGGGTCCCTAGGTGACATCCATAAAGAGGACCTGTCACACCGTATCTGCTATTACATAGGATAGCCCTCTACGTAATAGCAATAGGGTTAGTGTAAAAAAAAGTGTGTCAAAGTTAGAAAAATGAAAGTAACATAAAAGAGAAATAAAAAAATGCAAAAAAGTCCAAAAGTTCCCCCCCCCCCCACGTGCACGCACATACACATGCAAACACGCGTTGGTGCGCCTACGTGTGAAAAAGACAATTACGCTACACATGTTTCATATCGCCGCAAGCATCGGAGTGAGAGCAATAATTCTAGCGCTGTCTATCATTGTTAGCACTAAACTGATGAGCGGTAAAAGCGTTTAAAATGTTCCCTATTGGAAATTTTGGGTATTGACTTTTTTGCGGCTTCATGGGCGAACGCAATTATAAGGTTAGACATGTTTGGTATCTATTTACCCGGTGAGACCCCGTCTTTCATATTTTACCAAAATTGGGTATTATATTATGTTTCTCTGCACTAAATTTGAATTTAGTTTTATTTTTCCCTAAAAATACTGGTTTAATAAACATTTGCGCAAAAACCGTGCAACATAAAAAATTGCAACTAGCATTTTTTTACTCTACAGGGCCTCTGCTTTAAGAACATATATCATTGTTTGGGAGTCTGAAGCTGTTTTCTATTTAAAAAAATTATATTTTATCATGTGTGTGCAAATAGTAAGAAAATGCCCCGGACAGCAAGTGGTTAAACATTTTTTTTTTTTTTTGTTATCTGTTACTTTGATTTTTACTATTTGTTTTTTTTTCATTTTTTTTTTACTCTCAACTTTATTGCTATCACATAGGGGACTAACAAGCCCCCTTTGTAATAGCAAATATAATGTGACAGGTCCTCTTTATGGAGATATCAGGGGTCTTTCAGACCCCTAATGTCACCTAAGGACCCCAAAGAAGCTGATGAAGCAGAAATCTGCTTCACCAGCTTCTTCTTCTGGCTCTAGGAGCCAAAGAATATGTAACGTGACACCGGATGTGAAGCACATGGTTTCCGGGTCCAGTGATCAGAGGAGAGATTAGCTGCTTGGAAGGTCGATCCATCAGGGGAGACCCTCCACGGCGGTCCCGGGCTCTCACAGGGGACATCGAAGCCCGGGGAAGCCGCACCATACAAGTCATCGCCAGCTGTTTAAAACAGTACCAATAGCATGGATGCAGCAGCAGCCGTGTTCTTGGTACAACCACTTCCAGCGGATGACGTACATTTACGTGAACCCGCTGGAAGTGGTTAAAAAAAAGAATAGCCTACAATTTTCTCTGGAATAACTTTTTTGATTTTAATATTTATTAAATGTTCTAAACATTTGAAAGATCTACTCTGGGTGCAAACAAACATTTTTAAATTGATTCCTCAATAGCGACAAAGAATATAAATTAACTTTTTGTGCACCAAATCCCTTGCCAAGCTTGGATACTACCTTGTAAATGTAGCAGCGACATCATCATTGTGCTGCACAAAGCCTGAGCAGAGCTGTGAGAGTGGCCCAGCAAGCGCCACCCACCACCGGCTGCGTGCAGAAAAATACAACACCAGTCACCCTGCACAAGGAGGGAGAGCAGAAGTTACGGACCTTTATCATAGGAAGTAACACACAAAGAAAAAGTTTCACACTGGATTACACCACAGATCTGGGAAAAGATTCAAGTAAATTATACATGCCTCTTTTATTTAGGCAACATTCGCTTATTATGGAGGCCAGCTTTAAATAATAAAACAAATGAAACTGGCACAGACAAAAATGATGGGACCCTTATTCTAATATTTTGTTGTACAAACTTTTAGAGCCAATCACTGCAAACAGGCTATTTCGGTAGCTCTCAATTAGACTTCTGCACCTGCCAACAGGTAGTTTGCCCCACTCTTCTTGAACAAACGTCTCCAGCTGCCTCAGGTTTAAGCGGTGCCTTCTCCAGACTATATTTTAGCTCCTTGCATGGATATTCGATAGGATTCAGATCAGGGCTGATAGAAAGCTGCTTTAGAATAGTGCAATGTTTTGTTCTCAGACATTCTTGGGTGCTACTAGCTGTGAGTTTTGGGCCAGTATCCTGTTGGAGGATCCATGACCTGCAACTAAGCTTTCTGACAGTGCATTTTGCCCCAGAATTCCTTGATAGTCTTGAGATTTCATTGTGCCCTGCAAAGATTTAAGGCATACTGTGTGAGACACAACAAAGAATCCCTAAAACATAACCAAGTCTCCTCCATGTCTCACAGTAGACATAGTGTTCTTTTCTGTAAAAGCTGCATTTTTTTCTCTCTCTCTGTGAACATAAAGCTGATGTGACTTGCCAAAGAGATCTGTCCAAAGGACATTTGAGGTATTTAACTCTTGTTCCGTGGGCTTGTTGCTGGTTGACCAAGCCTCAGTTGTATTGCTTGTGGATACTGGGATGACATCCCATTAATCAGCCTGTGTCCAGTACTGTATGATTAAGAAAATATGATTTTGATTTGCCTATAAAATCCTTTACTTGAAGACAGGACACAAGACCCTTCCTTTTGTATCTGTGTTCTGGGAGATGGTTGCTGGGAGAGGTAGGCTATAGGTGGGTTGTTTTATATATCTGATTTGGTTTTGTTAGTGTGCAATCACCTTAGGGCATCTGCATATAACCCAAGATGCCAGAAAAGCTGAGTAGCCCAATTGTCACAAGAAACGACTCCTGCACTGTGCTGTAGTGTCATCTCATGAGATCTGGGCCGCTCTTCATTTCCTGTTATCTTGTCAGAAGTAGCAAGACGTCACCCCCTGCTGTACATAAGCCTTAGAAATGGCAGGTATATTTTATAGTAACCTTTTCCTTAAATTTTTTTTCTTTTTATAGCTGCTTTTTGGCATGGGGTGGGGGGCATGACAAAGTACATAAGTGGACCTTATAGTCCATAGTTCATAGTACAAGATCAGCTTTAACTGCAGTATAGTCTGTAGTCTGGCTGTACTTTATGGTAGGTGACTTGAACACAAGAATTGCTTAACAATAGTAGAAATTATTTGGCAGGTAAGACAGATCAAATGCTGTATACTTATAGCAGTGTTGTATTTATTACTTTCCTTAAAGTTAATGTTTCAATCTTAATAGCGGCAAATAATAATATGCAGTCACTGTATTACATCATCCTTTTTAAAATGTATTTTGATCATACTTTTATATGCAAGACAACTTATTCAATTGCATGCCATATTTATTTAAAAAAATATATAATTTTTTTTTTTTGCTTGCTTCAATGGGAGCGCACTGTAAACGCATGAAAAAAAGCAAGTATACATTTATAATAGGTTTGACGTGCTTTTGAGATTTTTCTATCACATTGACCATATAAAAGCAAGCATTATTTACAAGTAACTGCTGAGTAAACAGATGCTTGTCATATTTCAAGGTGAACATCCCTGAATGCACACATTTTGGAAAGATGTTTGTTTGCATCAGCCTCTTTCAAAACTTCACTTCACACTATGCCAAGTCTCATATTCTTTTTACTGTGTAAAGCATTTCTGCTTTCTCTAACGCATTATTGTTGTATGTCGTTGTGATTAATTACCTTTAAGTAGATAAAATCTTTATCCCAGAACCATTTCAGGTTAATTTCAGGCAAGGTGTAAATACCTTTCTGTTTGAATTTTTCAGGATTGGATTTGTTTTTGTTGTTAATTCTGATGGAAACCAAGAAACGGATGCAGATGTAGGATCTGTTTTGTGGCGCGCTTATAACTACATGACTGACGAATCTGATTCAAACCATGCTTTTGCTTCCTTGATAAGCGTATGTATTGAAAATGTTAAAGAACCCCTGTCAGGTGTGCAGTCTAAGCTCACAGGAGGCACCCTTCAGTGCCATAGCTTACCAGATTTCCTGGTGCCCACTCCCATCCATCCCTATTGCTGCACCCTCATAAGTTGCTTAGTACAGCTTCCTATAGGTTGGTATATGCATAATGATATGCATACTCCAGGCACCCTTTACTGGTAAGTACTGAGTTTTCCTGGGGAGCTGGGATGGCATATCAATATAGTCACTAGGAAATCTCTTTGACCAGGACTCCTTTTCAACTGCTGTTAATGCACAAGTGACCCCTGTAATTTAATTACTTTAAATGCATAGTTAATACATCATACAAGTTATACCAAATTGAAGTAAATTGTTATGAAAAATACAGAAGATCATTTATCCATATAGCATGTTTATACTGTTCTCGGAAAAGGCACCAGGTATACTCTCCCTTCATAGTAAAGTTACATTTTTCTAATTTGCGTAATTGCCCTATTTTACAGGAAACCTTTAAGGCCCCGTTCACATTGAGGGATTTATCGCGCGGTAATTCCCGCGATATCGCTCTTCAATGCATCTCAATGGAGCAAAGGGTCCTGCTGTCGCGGGTCGTGTGTCGCTACAGCAGGACCCTTTTTGTAGCGGATTTTGCAGCGATTCTCGCTTGCTCAATGCAAGCATTTGCACGATATCGCGCAAAATGCAAATCGCACGACAAACGCGCGATTTGCGAATCGTGCAGTGTGAATGGGGCCTTATACTCTATTTATTTTCTGCAGTACAAAAGCCCAAATGAAATGGAGGAGATGCTGCTGCTTATCTGGGCATCTTTGTTAACTGAGAAGGCCCTTTGAGAAGCTGAACCTTTTTCTTTTAATTTTGTAAAGGGAAGGGTTTAAACTCATTGTAGGTATTTTTTTTGTTTTGTTTTTTCCTTGTCCTTCCAACTTGAAAAAAAGAGGAAATGTCTCTAAAGCAAAGGTAAATCCCCTCTTAAGTAGGCTATACACACATGGAATTTGGCCGGTTCTTGAAGAAGCAGATGAAATTCGCTGCATGGGTGCTGCTGTCGTCACCCTTCCAACTTGTATCCATCGATCAGCTGATTAAAGGAGCCGGTCGGAAAATTCTCAGACGAACAAAGCTAGCAGCCAATCAGCTGCTAACTCTATTCAGGTTTTCTGACAGCGGCAGCTGCCGCTGTCGGAATGCACAGGACACAGCAGGATATTCCTTGTTCAATGCTCATAAGCGTTGATGGAGGAATCTGTGGTCAATTCTTCTTCCAGCCGGCAGGTGGAATGAAGAAAATATATATATGTGTGTATACCCAACTTCAGACAGTTGTCTTTAGAAAAGGTTTCTCTATTAGAAGATTTCCCATCACCTTCTGTCCAGATGGACATAGGTACTGTAACAAATTACAGAGCAGCATTATAATGACTTGTGAGCTATCGAAAGACAGAGAGAGCCACACTAGGCAATTGGGTTCGCTGGCACTGTAGGAGTCTAATAGGTTACTCATACCGACAAACTCTAGTCAAGTGGCACCATGAGAAAATATAAAATAGCATGCACTTATGTAAAGCAATCGGATAACCATCAAAGAAGGGCCCGAACATTTAGTTTGCAGAGCTTTCCACACTGCATTCTGTGACCGCAAAAAAATCTGATCAAGCATTTTTGTTGATGCATTTGAATTGGCCCATTTATAGAAGGTAGCAAAATTTTGTTAGTGTATGCTGAAGTAGGTGAATATTAAATGATAACTTTTGAAGGTTATGAAACAATGTCAGGTAGAAATAAAATGTAACATTTTCTTTAGTAGCACTATTATAACTACAACATCATTTTAGCATCAGGTGGGCAAATCTGGTCCATGGATTACATGTGCATAGTGATTCCATATATTTTGTCACGGGTAAAGTAAAATGCAAACATTTTTAAACTGGGTGATATGCATATTGCCTGCTCTAATTAAGTCAAGCTTGTGTGTCTCATACAGATTGCTAACATAAAATGAACCCTGTCCGCCACAGTTCTTGTCACAGCTGACATTTTGAGCAGTGGCTGTCGCAATGACATAACATGGTACAGAATGTTTGCTCAAATGGTACACACTGACCTGACATTACCATCTTATTTCCTTGTGTAATCACATATGTTATCTTTTTTACTGCATATTTTATTCATTTACAAACTGAACTCTATGAAATGTTTTTCGCAGTGCAGGCTTACACTGCCCACATGTTAAGATAATACATGTTGTTCCATTTTGTGTCCGTTTCTCATTGTATGTTATCCTTTTTTGCAGATGTACAATAAACTTGATGGGGGTGAAGTACTTACTGCAGAAATTGTAAAGTCTGTCCTAACATATGAATTTCCTCATGTTGAAGTGAAGAGCATTCTTGGCTCAGATTCTGAGTATAATCACAAGTTAAAGGTAAATGAGCACAAAGGATGGATGGCTAATGTTCTAGTCCTGCCTTTAGGATGTAAACAGTAGTGTATTATGAAGATTATTTGTATATACTTGATCAGTAAACATGTTTTAATATCTTAGGTCTCATTGAGGGTCATTTTTTAAAACTGGAGCAGACAGAATCTGGAGCAGTTGCCTATGACATCCAATCAGCTTCTCTTTCATTTGTAAAGCTTAACTGAACAAACTTAAGAGAGAAGCTGATTGATTGCCATGTGCAACTGCTCCCGATTTGATACATTCCCTTGAGTATCTGTAAAACATTTTTATTCTATTGGATACAAGAATTCTGAGCCTCTAAACTTTTTAAACATCTTTAAGCTGGGTTCACATTTTTGCCTTGCGTAACAGATGTGTGGTAATGCTCATTATCTCACTCATTAACATGATTTGTGTAAAGGCAGGTCATTCCTTTTGAATGGACTGCCTAATGCACTAAAAAAATATGTATGGCAGCATGCACTGGTCTGCCTTCAGGAATACATTGCAGCCCAGCACATCTGCACGCAAAATGTGTTTTTGGGCATTAACACAGTGCATCAGTGTGGACTGTAAAGTTGCACTATTCCCGTGTCAAGTTCACTGGAAGACTCAATGCAATAGTAGGTCTGCAGATCCAAACAAATATAGAGGTATGGCATTCTTTTCTCTGACTTCTATCTGCATCTTGCTTATTCTAGATCTCTGACTCTAATAAGTATTAAATCTTGATATAGTCAGACAATTATTGTTAGAAAGAGACCAACAATGGCAGGCAACCCATTTATCTTATGACAAGTATACTTTAATATACCAAGTTGCAAAAACTGTACTATCAATCTGTACCATTCAATCCAAAGATTTTTGCTGGATTTTTAGATAGATCCATTGCAATATCACAGACATTTCATGAGACATTATGTTTTTGAAACAGTTCTATATAAAACCCCTAATGAATACAAAAGTAAAATATAAAAGGCGTGCTACGTAACTTAGGAACTATATAGAAAATAAGCTGTTAATTTTAGTGATTTTGTCCTTCTTTGATGAGGAACATGTGTAGCTGGCATTACCACCTTTTGTATGTGGGAGTTCCAGATTCTACACCTTTTGTCATAATAGCTGTCCTGCATCCTTAGCGACATTGTCAACATTTGTTAGCAGTGAATGAGTAACCGTACTTCTTTCATGTCAGTAAACCAAGATTCAGTCTATTTTCACGAATTGTGCAACCTTTTCAGTGGATAGTGTATGGTGATGTTCCTGTGTATGAGGTTAATATGAAACTCTGTGTATGTCTGGGTTTAACCTCTTGCCGTCTGCCCGTAGTAGAAAAACGGACGGACGGCACTGCTGCATCTGCGGGTTGCCGTCTCCAGACGGCAATTTTTTTCTGCTCGCGCGCGCCCCCTGGCGGGCACGCACGGGCAGAAGGTCTGATAAATAGAAGTTGAAGAGGGCTGTAATTTGGAAGAAAGGCCTTGGAAAGAATGACTATATCTGTACTCCCACAATAGTAAAAAATAGTTTAAATATATTTATTTTTTGTTAAAAATATCACTTCTCCAAACTTCAATTTATTGCTGAAATTATATGGCTGTGCATCATTAACCCTCCGAGTGCCGCTGCTGACAAGTTCCTTGTACAGTAACGATTTGCTTAGGTCCTTCCCTAGCTTTGAAAGTAAACCTACTTGGTTATGAGTCATAGAAATCACAAATCATAGCTTGGCAATGCTAATAATAAATTAGATAAATGGCACAAGTTAGAGATTAGTCTTTCATTCTTCCGCCTGTGGCATGTGAAGAGGGGTCTGAAGTGGGAGGTGGCGTCTAATTTATGATTTTGTACTACAAGCAAACTGTTGGTTGGGGAAACATTAGTTAGGCATATTAAAGCATGTTTTAGATGTATTTGATGGAGTTTCATTATTGTTTCCCAGCTGTTAATTGCCTCATCAGGATGCAAAGCAGTTCACCAGAGAAATGCCTACAAAACAGGAACATTAATAATAAGTTTATGTTTTATCACTGTTTTTGTGTGTTTTAAGGATGATCTAAAGGAGATTGCTGTTCTACAAACTTCTACAAAAGTTACATGCATGACTAGTTACACTGAGTAATAAACAGACAGCCTGACTCAAAGAGGAATTAAACTTTACTGGATATAGAGCTAAAATATATAGCTCATTCATTATTAAAGGATTGTATCTTCCACATTGCTATGGGATGTAGAGAATGGTCTGCATGGTGACTTGTAAGGCTGAATCTACGGCCCCTGTCCCTTATGCAAGGACGGATCCTATCTGCCAAACTCCGATCACTTTATTCTCCACGAGTGAGAGTTCCATGTGGTGCCTTTAAGCATGTATGTTAATCTTCAGATCAATTTATATGTATCCAGGGAATCCCTGAAACCATGATGCACAGCAATCACAGTGCCTGGTCCTCTCTTTGACTGAGATTCCAGTTCCACCTATCTAAAAACTAACCATCATTTAACCATCCATCTTACAACTGCCTATTGTATGGCATGTTGGGAATTGGATGTATGGCCTCTCTATATTGTGTTTACAGGATCTCTTAACTCTCTGGGCCTACTTACTGTAAATGTAAAGATTAGCAAGGGTACCTGCAGTTAACACAAGATTGTAAATGCACAGGTTCACGTTAAAGAGAATGTAACTGGAAGAGAGAAGCACCCTGACATGGTTTCATAATGGCTGTTAGGAGGGACGGAGCTGGGAACTTCAGTAGGGAGATCTTGCAACTTCATCCCTGAGTAGATATAAGAATCTATATGATTAAACCTATAACATTTCTTGCTTAATCTTTAATATATAGTCAATAGCAATTCTTATTTTATATTGTGATTTACAATACACAAGTGCTTTCTTGAAGTGCATGTGTGAATAGGATAGATCTGCTTAGCAGAGCTATAGAGGTGCTGTACATACCTTTAAGTATTTGCCATGCAAGACCCTAAACTTTGGATATTTATATCTTCAGCTCAATATGTTAAGTTTTGGCAAATCAACTCCTGCACTTCCCTTTTGGTCCCTGATGGTTGACTAAGGGCTTGTTCACACCAACTCTATTCAGGTGCATTTCTTTAAATGCACCAAAAACGCATGCTTCATTCAATGCTTTTGAATGAGGCTAGTTCACATCATTGTGTTCAGTTCCAGAGATTAAAAAAAAAAGTACAGCAGCATTATTTTTTTCCACGCTGAAACACGCCAGAACACATCTAAATGCACTTGAAAGTGCTTAAACACAAGTAAAACAGATTTTAAAAATGCATCGGTATGCATCAAAATGTGTATAGAACATACCAGTTCATGGTGTGAATAAGCCCCGAGGGATTTCTGCCTGAGGAGTTGAGGTAAGGAGCGTGCCCCAGCTCAAGTTTCTTTGCTGCAGCCAAGTTTTGTATAATTGAACTCCCAAGGAGCTCATGAAGATATCTCAAGGTATGTGCCTGCTTGCAGTATACCACATTTATTCTAAGCACATCAAGGGGAGAATTAAAATGTGATGTTTTTGTGTTAAGAGGAATCTCTTACTTCCTAATAGTGTTGTCAGGATGCTAATAACTTATTAAGCTACACATGCTGCAAAGCTCACACTGCTCAGACATTTAATGGTCATGTCTCCTGCTATTAGCGTAGTTCATGTCACAGTCATATTAATTCTGCCTCACACTGTTGTGCCTCTGATTTAAACAGGCAGGAGCAACCTTTTACAAGAAGAGTGGCCTGGGTCCATTGCCTCAAGCACTGTTTAATGGTGCGCCCTTTAACACTGAAGAGATGGATGTGGAGGAGATGGAGACAACTATTCTGCAGAGGATTATAGATGCCACAGGCTTCTTCCAGAGGGCAGTGTTCATGGTAAGCTTACCACTCAGAAAGCATATGAGACTGATATGTCATTCTAATATTTAGTTCAAGCTTTGTTTACATGATGTGCGGGCTGTCATGTTCTGCAGACATACTGTGCAGAAGTGATTTCTCTGCAGTATATTTTCTTGTGTTTCTGATATAGATGGCTATAGCTAAGAAAACAACGATGTGTAGCAGTATAATAATTAGTCAGGAAAAGTTATTGACAGTCATCAGTTAGACGGCAAAGCCAAAGTAGCCTAAGCGTATTATTGCAAATATAGTAATTGAGACTAGATTTATTTTTCTATTTCATGGGTCAAATTAACCAAAGGAATCCATTTAACGTGTCCCTACTATTAATAGGCAATGGAGCACCGATTGTGGATGTAAATATTCTGGTGTTCTCATGTTGTTGCAAATGGAATGGGTAAAAAAATCTGAATAATATTACAACTGCTTGTTGTTTAGTGTAGGTTTAGGGGTTAGGTTGAGCATAAAGTAGATATAGACCTAACCGAATGAAAGTTAAAATTGCTAAATCATTGTGTAAAATAAACAATTGACAGTTTTTTGTTTTTTTTAAAATAAAATCTCCTGTAGCCACTTCATGTTTGCATATATACACACACCAGTGATGTCTGCATGGCATTTTTAGGGACTGGCTTCCTTTATGGTGACACGAGTCACTAAAGATCAGGGCAGATAAATAATATAATAAATGCTATTCATCTCTGGTGATGCTGGTATAAAGTGTTTACTTCTACCTAAAAAGGATTAAACAGTAATCAAAATCTTGTTTTTCATATTTAAAGAAGCATAAAAAAGAACAAATAGATGAAAATTGACCCAAGTATTACAATCTTCAGAATCTCAAAGCAAATGTGATTATTTTCAGATGAGAAATCCCTCCAAATAGCTTAATGTTTTTAATTTACTGGTATTCTGTGCTAGACTTTTACCTCTATGTGTACTGCTGATTAAGCCATGTGAGGATAGTTGTTTGTAGTTGAGGGAAATAGGCCATAATCCAAGGAACCCAATACACACATCCTAATAAACGTCTCACAAGCATGTGTTTTGTTTTTTTTGTATTACAGGGTCTGATAAATGAGAACTCGGATGCTATAGATTTTTTAATGGATCAGCCTAACATAGTAACTCGGCTGAATCCTACTATTCTTACCAGTGAAAAGACGTACATTAACTTTATTTCAAGACCAGGTAAAGTAGATTCTTCTGTTTTAAGCGCAATTTCATTCCATAATCATGCTAAGAATAAAAACCTTAACAATTGGCAGTCTAACATGAAGAGTTTGAAGGAATTTAAAATCTTTCCACCCTGTTAAATTGATTGCTTGCTACTGTACTGAACTGTATCCATTTTGTTCAGTTAATGTGATGTTTATCTACTGCTTTGCATCTAAAGCTTTTTCAGTGAAAGGACAAGTCTGCTTTTAAGCAAACCACTTTTATATAATGCTTTTCTTTAAAAGTTCACAATAGCTGAAGAAGGAATGTCTTGTATGCCAAAGTGCTGTACTGTTATATGGCTACTAAACCTAACATTCAAGTGACTGTTGTACTAATGATATATTAAAACACACATTGTTATATGTCTCTAAATTGGACAGGATGCAAGGTGTTTCCCACCATTTTCCACAATGTAATTGATTACTGCTCATAGTTCTGTGTTCTTGGTCATTTTACGCTGGGTGATGCATAAAATGGACCTGTCAAACTATCCTTCTCTGAGAAAACCTTTTAGTTTGAGATGGGCTTTAGTTTGTAGCCAAATACTGACACTCATATTGTAAGTGCCACTAACCCATTAGCATTTGGCTTTTTGCTCCCATTGCTGTTCAGCCCATGATGAACAGTACCTGCAACAGTACAGCCTTTTTCTATTTTGAGTACCTTACGTTAATAATTTCTTTACAGTTTTGTCATATTGTTTTCTGGTTGGATTTATAGTAAGCATATGCATACTTTTCCTAATGCATGAAACAGAAATGTTTTACTGCTTTCTGCAGAAGACATGTGGAAACATGATGAGGAGAGATTT